GAGTATTTAAAGAAAAGCAAGGAGGCCAACATCGCCAGAGCACCAGGTGAGGGAGAGAGTGGTATGCTATGAGGTCAGGTATCTAACCAGGGGCCTGATCTTATAAGATCTTGAAGGCCAGAGTAAGGACATGGATTATTCTAAGTGAGCAGAGGATTCTGAGCTGAAAAACAGCATGATCTGAATAGTGTTTCAATGGGATGATCCTGATGTAAAGAGTAGACTTCTGGGGGGATAAAGAAGGGAAATAGACCAGTTAGAAGACTGTCACAGTGGTCCAAATAAGAGTCGGTTATGGCTTAGTTTAGGGTGGAAAGTGGGAGTTGGTGAAAAGCGGTTGAATTCAGGTTGTTTTGAGGGTGTAGGTAACAAGATTTGCAGATAGACTAGATGTGGGGTATGAAGGAAATAGTAATAAAGAAACAAGTCCTAGATGATTATGTGTGCAACTAGGTGGTGGTACCACTTATTGAGAAGAAGGGGTCTGAGGAGAGGAGCAGATTTAAGGGACTCTCGGGACTTTGGTTTGATGTGTGAAGTGCCCTTTAGTTATCTTAGTGCCTGGACAATGCCCAGACTCCTTGCTTTCTATCCAAAGGTACCCAAAGCCACTTTAGATCCAAAGTGTTTAGATTTGATCTTTGCTGCTGCCAAAATAGTAGCCTTGGGGGGACAGTTAGTGAGGTGGCATACTTTCATCTTAGGTTTTTGAGGAATGAATTAGAATACTCAAAGTGGGGAGTAGTATATAATTATGCGGNTGTAAATATAGTTTCTAAAATAATGCCTTAACTTTACAATGGTTATAACTACTATATTTAGGCCTAAAATACTTAATAATTGAACAAGAAACCTTTTTAATAGTTTGATGGTATGGATCAGGAATAGGTAGACTATGGCTGGTGGGCTAAATCCACCTCATCATTTGTTTTTATAATTGAAAGGTTTTTTGGAACATAGCCACATCCATTTATTTACATAGTACCTATGGCTACTTTCACCTTGAGTTGAGTAGTTGCAGCAAAAACTATATGGCCCACAAAGCTGAAAAATTTGCCTTTGTGCTGCCCAGAGCAAGTCCATTGACCCCTGGTATAGAAAACAGTCAAGAGCAAGGATTCTGAAACCACATGACCTAGGTTCAAATTCCAGTGCTCCTATTTCATTGCTCTTGACCATGGACAAATTACGTGATTTTGTGATTAAATGTGATTTATTATGTGATTAAATGAACTAATTTGTATAAAATAGTGCCTGGCACATAATAAGCATATGTAAGTGTTTGGTGTTATTTCCACTTGTTGCTTTATTTAATAAATTATTGTTCATAGAAAAACAACTCTAATGATTTTCCTTTTAGAGCATCATAGGAACTTCGAATCTTTTGTTGTTCAAGAATGTAATAAGATTTTCTTCTTTTAAAGTCAGTGTTTCTTGTTACCAAAATTTATTTTATGAATGCAGAGAACTGAATATGTCTTTCTGACAATACCTGTGGTTAAAAATCAAGACATCAGTTTTCTAGGGCATTTCAAACTGACTTTGCATATTCCAGGCCTCTGAAGTTGATGTGCGTACCCTAAGTAGTATGTGAGATTCACTGGGTTAGAAAAAGAAAATATTGGAACCTCTATATTTGTTTTTGTATCATTTAAAAAATATCTGTGTTGTTTATAGTGTTCATAAAATATATGCACAGAATTTCATGTGTGTATTTTATTAATAAATATAATACTTGTTTTCTTGTGGGATGTCCAATCAAGTGTTTGGAGACCACTGGAAGACAGAATGATAGAAATTAGAGCTTCAGCAATGATAGAATTTAGAACCAATTCTCTTACTTGGCAGATATGGAAAATAAAATTCATAGAAGTAATTAAGTTGTCAAAGTTTATATAACTAGTTAGCAAAAAAAGTCATTCAGTGGCAGATCTAACTAATCACTGGCAGACTAGAAACTGGGTCACTGGACGCCTAAACCACAATCAACTGCTTAACTTCTCCGATTGACTCTCCTGGCATTCCCTGTTTCTTTACTTATGCATCTCATTTTCTTCTTATTAAATTTTTGAAGTATCAGACCATAAGAAGACATGAAGAAACCTGGGCTGAGAGTCTTCGTTACAGGAGACCTGATCTTGACTGTATGGCTGGCCTGAGGCGCGTCACTTTGAATTGCAACACGCTCATTGGTGACTTTGGCGCAAGTGCTTTTGCAGAATCTCTTAGTGAGGATTTATGGCTTAGAGGTAAATTATAAAATTGAAAATATTGAATTTTTTAATATTGAATATTATTAGCTTTTGACATAATACTGTTGTCATAGGAATTTCTTTTAAAAGCCTCATTCTTTCCTATAGCTTTTATTGTGCTTTTAAACTTTTCTTAAGAGTTGCATATATTCTTTTTTTTTTTTTGGTTTTCACATTTTTATTGAGGGCCACGGTGGGGATCCTCCTCCCTGTCAGTGGAGCTGCTCACAGTTTCTTCAGCCACTCCAAGCTTCGGCCCTAAGGGTCCTGGGGTTGGCTGGGTATGT